TATTTAGAGTTTAACTTGGTTGGGAAAGCAGTAAAGTTTGACACGCCAGATAGCACAGACACTAATCCTGAAGGAGGACAGTCATGTTGTCCTGTTTCTCCTGTTGTTTAGATTGGTGCTGTTAGGCTCAGTGTGTGGGATTATAAAACAGAGTAGTGTGTGCAGTAATTAAACACTCAAGTATGTTAGATTAACATGTTGCGCTCATCTTTTCTCAGGGAGCCCCAAAGAATGCATTATCAGAGGCAGTCCAGGCAAAGCGAGCAAAACGAAAGATGGAACGGGAGCGCAAGAAGAGGAAGAGGAAAGAGTTTCGGATGAAAGAACTGGCTGAAAAAAGTGGCCAAGAACCGCAGCCAGAGATAAAACAGGAAGCGGAGGAAGCCCCGGCTGTAAGCAAAAGAAATGAAGCTGCCATCATTTTCAACACGGTGGAGACAGTGGAAGAGGGCTATGTAGACAAAATACAGAAAAAGAAGAGCAAGAAACAGAGTATGAAGGGCCAGATAACGCCGCTGACAGGGAAGAACTACAAGCAGCTGCTCAGTCGTGTGGAGGCCCGCAAAACAAAGCTGGAACAGCTGCGGGAGAAAGACGAGGGGAAAGCCCGCGAGTTGGAGGAGAAGATGAAGTGGACCAACATGCTTTATAAGGCAGAGGGCATCAAAATCAAAGACGACGAGGACATGCTGCGCTCCTCGTTGAAGAGGAAGGAGAAGAGGCGCACTGACAGGAAGAAGAACTGGAACAAGCGCAGCGAGAACATCGTAGAGAAGATGCAGCAGCGTCAGGAAAAGAGACGAAAGAACATCCAGAAACGCAAACAAGTCAAGACAGAGAAGAAGAAGGACAGGGCGCGGAAGAGAGGCAGAGTGCTGCCCGAGGACTTGAAAAAAGTGTCAGTTTAGAGGAAGGAGTGTGTCTTATATGATGTCTTATGACAAGACAACATAGGCAATGTCTACATCAGTAAATCGGTCTCTTTTTATGGGAGTATGATTTTATTTACGTGATATGGAAGCGCTGTTGCTGCTGCTGCACGTATTGTACCTTTGCTCCTGTTAAGGAGTAGTATGTGTGTTGGGGTAAATAAAATGTAATTCTTCATTACGATGAACATGAATTGAAACCTCTGTTGTATAATTTATTCGACCAA